GAGGGTGCAACCATAAACCCCATAACCCCGGGGATGAGGGGCAATGGTCTGCGCGCACATCCCACACAACCGAATGCGATGCACCCCCTCAGCCAGAGGACCCGAAAGAGAGGCACAGCGGGCCCGAGACACCCAAAGCAAGGTGCGTGTGCGATGCCCACCCCTGGAGCCGCCTCGTGTACTTGCCCATGCCGCAGTCCCTTCCTCCGTCCACCCGCCGGGACACGCTCAAATGCACGCATCGGCAGTTATGGCCACACACACACACACATGTCGATAAACTGCTCCTGCCCATGCCCCGCCTGACTGTCCGTGACCCCCCTACAACAGGCGCGCTTCCGCCGGACTGCGTGCTGCATTCCTCGCATGGAGGCCCCCGCGGACCGTTCCACCGGAGAATGGGTGTTGCTTCGGGCCCCGGAGGTGGATTGAGAGCCGCCCACTCACACTGGGTTGCCCTCTCCCTCTTGAGAGGGCCCTGCCCCCCCCCCCCCCCCTCCGCGCACCGGCACACAAAACGAAGCATCGAGACAAACGCAGGGAGGGCTCTAGGCAAAGTACATTGGTGTATGCCCACAAGGAGAGAAGTGTACATGGACATTTTTGTACATATATGTTCGTGTCCATGCGTGCGTGTGTGTGCGCGCGCACGTTTCCGCGCGGAAGGGGTAGGCACATCTCGCACCATACACGAGGATGAGATGGTGAAACAAGGACAAAATATGCGCCAGGGCGGCCATCCTTCTTTCCCCATTGGCCGGCCTGCCCTCGGGTGAAGGGGCAGAGCGGAGGAGGGGAGAAAGGAAGGGGAGGAGGACTGGCACATGGGCATGCACTGAGTGAATACATGCCACAGGCAGGTGTGAAGAGGGGGAATGGAAAGAGAGAGAGAGAGAGAGAGGGAGAGGGGGAAAATCCGCCCCCCTCGCGCTCTCGGTCGGTCTCACTGCGGCACCGAGGCCAGGGCCACGGGATGGCGGTTGGCGGTGCCACCAGTCGCATTGACCGTGCCGGATCCGATGTCAGTGTCGCTACTGATCCGGAGATGCCCCGAGAAGGAACGCAAGCAGCTGCCGGTGCTGGGCCCGCTGTTGTTGTTGTTGTTGCTGCTGCTGCTGCTGCTGCTGCTGCTTAGCTGGTGCTGGTGCTGCGCGTGCTTCTGCAGATCGTGCCCGGCCACGGTCAAGTCCTCCGGTGTCGCGTGCTGGTGGTACTGGCGCAGGAGCTGGAGAGTGGCTGCAGCCGGAGGCGGCCCACCATCCTCGGCCGTGGCGGCAGCCCCGCCATTGGAGGGGTTCACCGATACCACCATCGTCGAGGAGGGCATCGTCCGGGGCAGGCTGGCTGACTGGGCAGCCGAAAGCGGGGACCCGGGCGGAATGGGGCTCCCCCCATTACCACCGCCACCATTCCCAAGCAGGGAGGAGAAGGAGGACTCCGACGGATGGGACAGCTGCTGCTGGTGGTGCGGGGTGGGCAAATGCGCGGACACCGGGGCCAGGGATGAGCGCCGCGGCTGGACGATGAAGATTTGCCGGTGGAGCCGCACCCGTGGCGAGGTCCCGCTCACCAGAGACGAGGTGATCGAGGGCATGAGCGGACTTGGTGAGGGGCTGCGCGCACGGACCGGGCTCGAGCCCCCACTGGATGTCTGACTGCCGCCGGTGGTGGTCACCGGGGAGGGCATCAGGCTGACAAGGCCGCCACCGGCGCCGGTGGCCCCGCCCACGGCGGCCATGGTGGCCGAGGACACCGAGGACGCCACAGACGGCGCATAGGAGGACGCCGGCGAAGAGGGACACACCCCGGAGGCCGAGGATGACGAGGAGGCCGAAGAAAAGGCCGCCGCCGCATACTGGGCCGCCTGCTGCTGATACTGGACCTGATACTGATAGGGGTGAAGGAAGTGTGATGCCGGGGCGCCGGACGACATGCCGGGCAGGTGGTGATAGGCGCCGGTCGTCGCCGAAGCCATGCCACCCGCGGCGGAGGGCGTCGTGCTCAGGGGAACCGGCGGGCCGGCCGCCGGCATGGCAGACACGGCGGCAGTCGCCGCCGCCGCCGCCGCGGCCACATGCAGCGGCGATGGCCGCCCCTGCCCACTGGAGCGCTCTTGCTCCAACATCCGACGGAAGCGATCCGCCTGGGACACCGCCTCGCGAAGCTGGGTCGACCGTTCACGAAGCTGGGCATCGCGCATGGCCAGATCCTGCGTCAGGGTGGCCACCTCCGCGCGGCTGGCATCCAAATCGGCCTGCCGCGCGGCCAGCATATCCTGCATGAGGTCTGCGCGGGCCTGCAGGGCAGCCACCTCGTCATCCCGTGCACGGAGGTACACCAAGCACGCCTGCAGGTCATTGTCCTTGGTGGCGAGGCTCCGCGTGAGCCGGGCCACCAGGTCTTCCTGCTGGCGGTTCAGCAGCAATGCATCCTGCAATTGCCGCCGCAGCTCAGCCACAAAGGCATTCGGCGGGACCATGGCCGTGGTGCCGAGGGGGCCACCGGTCGCGGCGGCGTTGGGGCCCGAGGGCCGTGACTCGTCCACGGTGGGGGACGAGGTGGTGATGTTGAAGGAGCCGCTGGCAGTGGTTGGGGCATCGTCGCCCCCACTGTGGTGAGTGACACCAATGGCCGGGCCCTCGGCGCCCGGCGGCGCCGATGGCGAGGCCGACGCGGCGGCCGCCGCCGCGGCCGCCGGCGACGGGACCAACGACACGACCATGGATGCACCGCCATCTTCCGAGGAGGATCGCGAGGAGGAGCGCTCCCGGATCGGATGGCGACCATCATCAACAACGTACGTCCTTCCGGAGGACAGCCCGGCCGAGCAGGAGGAAGAGCAGGAGGAAGAGCAGGAGGAGGCACCAGCGGCCGACTCATCATCGGAGGTCAGGCAGCCGTCCTCCAGGAAGTCCAGCCGCGGGCTCGTGGTAACCAGGGTGTCGGAGCTGGGCGATGACATGCCCCCGGCCAGGGCCAGCTCCTCGTCGGCCTCCAACGCCTCGAACAGGTCGGCCAGGACGCTGCTGGTGGCACTCTGGCCATGGCTGTGAGGGTCGTTCAGTGGGGCCACCAGCCCGGCACCGGATGCCGACCCGAAGGAGGACGTGGTCGAAGAGGCCGAGGCATGGGAAGAGACCGTGGTGGTGGTGGTGGAGGAGGAGGAGGAGGAGGAGGCCGCGGGGTGGGCATTGGGGGCATTGTTGTAGGACGTCAAAGCATCACCAAGCGACGGGTGATAGTAACTGAGGAAGGGATCCGAAAGGGCTACCAAAGGACAGCGGGACCGGGTCAGTCACATGGAGAGGCGCGAGGTAGGTGTATGTGCGTGTGTGTGTGTGTGTGTGTGTGTGTGTGTGTGTGTGTGTGTGTGTGTGGAAAGGGAAGGGAAGGGGGGCCCAAAGAGCGAGACAAGCAGGCTGCGCGTACGACTGAGTGCATCAGCCTCCTGCTCAGATGGCAATGGTCCGCCCGGCAGGGGGACGGTCGATTCGGAAGCATGGCGGGAAAAGCCCCCGGAAGAAGCCGCGCGATTGATGAGCATCGACCCCGGGCCCGGGATGTCCGGCGGATGGAGGGATTGGGCCGATGCCGGGGCCGTGATCGATTCGACCAGGCTCGCCAGGGAGGAGGAGACATCGAGGTCCGGAATGAGCGGCGCCACGGCCGGCAAAGAGGTCGGGCCCGTGAGAGAAGCAGTTGCGGCGGTGGCCCCGGGGCCGGTGGCTGCGGCAGCATTACGGCCGATTGACCCGGGGGCGCGCGCGTGTGGCGAATCCGGACTGAAGGGACTCACCGGGATGGAGATGGACAAGTTCGGCCTGGAGGAGGGTGACCGCGGGGAAACCAGCGACCCGGCACTCGGCGGGCCGCCAACATTCAAGCTGGCATTGGAGTTGGAAAGCTTGAGGGGGGCCGGCGTCGAGGACAGGCGCCGTGGAAGGGACGCCGGAGCAGGCGACGGGGCCAGGGCGGCGGCGGCGGCGGCGGCTGCTGCTGGTGCCTGGGTGTTGGTCGGGCTGATGGGCCGTGGCGGAAGGATGGTCGAGGCGTCGGTGGGTCGACGCTTGCTGGCCCCGGCCCGGCGGTCCTTGGCCGTTTTCCGGTCCGATGGCCCGGGGGATGAAGACGTCTTGGAGGTGGTCAGGCCGGCCTTGGCCTCGCGACGGAGGCGTCGCTGCAGGGCCAAGTAGTGCTGATCGCAGTAGGGGCGATTTTCATGGCGATAGAAGGGCCGATTGGCCAGGGAGATCCGACAGTCCGAGCTACGAAGACCCAAAGGCGAGCCGTGACCGAGGGGCGAGGGGAGGGGGGGGGGGGGGGGGGGGGGGGAAGGAGGGAGGCGCGAAGAGGCAAGGCAAGGAGGGCAGCCGGGCCGGGGCAAGCACACAAGAGGGCGGGAGTGGTTAGCCCAGGAAGTCCATGGCCCGCACACAAGAGACAGCCACTTGGCCGGGGCAGAGCGTCACGAACCAGGCAAAGTGATCCGGGTGCCAGGTTTCCCCCAGAGCATGGACAATGCGATCAATGATGGGCTGCTGGCAGCCGAAGCAAATGAGAAACCCGTTGGCATGGTCGGAGGAGCCGGAATCGGGGCCGCTGGTCGAGGAGTCCCCGGTCACCGGGGAGGAAGCCAGCGCCGATGGCGGCGTCGGCAGGGCAGGGGCATCACGGCCGACGGACGCACCGGCACCGTCGGCAAACGGCTGCGTGAGGGCGTCGGTCGACATGCTGCCTTCTCGGGGGGGG